TAATTTTATAGATCTAAATACTTTTTGGTTCAAAAAATATTTAGGGACTTAATCGTTCAAAATATGAATGTTTATTGGGGTTTTTTTTGAATTTTTTTTTTCATTATTTTACCACTTTAACTAGTTGTACAAGTCATAAGAATGTATCCAACAAGTTTTAGAAAAGTCAAAGGAGTTATTTAACATGTTTTGGATTGTCCAAAGACTTATTTGTTCCAAAAATTGTTTATTGAGTTATTTAACATGTTTTAAATTGTCCAAGGACTTATTTGTTCCAAAAAATTGTCCAAGGACTTATTTGTTCCAAAAAATTGTTCAAAAAGTTATTTAACATGTTTTGGAATGTTCAAGGACTTATTTGTTCAAAAAAATTGTTCAACAAACACTAAAGTCCATTGAGTTTTTTTAGACTTTTCTCTAAAATAAATGAAATAATTTTATGAATAAAAAATAATATTAACAATTGTTTACGATAATTATCAATTGATAAAAAATCAAGCCAAAATCTAATTCAAACAAGAATAATACTTTGTTTTTAGATATTTTTTTTATTAACATGGATATCCAACCTGTTATGTGAGTCGGTTAATCATAAGACGACCACCTGCTTTGCAGGTAACCCGAAGACACCGCATTTGAACCTCCGTGGCTACAAAGAGATTTCTTTTTCCTCCTTGAATTTAAATCTGGGACCTCTAGGCATTTTTGACATTTGGAGCTCAAGCTCAAACTGATCAGACACCACTTTTATGGTTAGTTAGATAATTTTTTTTTTGTTTGATTGAAGAAGAAAGGCCAAAAAATGGTTAGATAAACAGTTGGTGTATTATGCTTGCATAAGCTAAAAAATATTGAGAATCTACAGATAAAACAAGTTAAAATCTTGGAAGATCGATACATATGTTGCTTTCTTGACTGACCAATGCATACACAGACGCTTGTTGAGGATAAAAAGACACAAATCATTCATAAGCTTTGTGTATTGCAGAATCAACTTTAAAAACGAAACCGAAAAATATCAACCTTAATCGACAACTCTTAACTTGTTGTTGCTTTCTCACCTAGTCCTACCTATCCTATCTATTCAAGGGGGAAATTGAATCAACGGCATCGAATGCAAGCTCTGATAAAGTTTTTTCTACTTATGGACTACAACGGCCTAAAGTAGCTGAATAAGACGTTAAAGGAAGTTCATTACTAAAATGAGTCTTGGTGAGAGAAGAGAAGAGGCGTGGAGGAAAAAAAATCAAAACTAGGGGAAAGGAGAGAGGAGAGAGGGGGTGATAATTATGTGATTATCACACAGTTATCACATTATCGCTTATATCAACACGATTTG